CTTCAGGGGATTAGTCTAGGCATTTAATAAATATAAGTTGAATAAATGAATAGCAGCATTTTGAATTGAGGAGAAGGTGAAGAACAGTGTATAGAACTGAAAAAGATGGGTGGAAAATACTTCAACTAAACATGAACTTGGGAATGTTTATGCAGAGGAGGAAAAAAAAAGCCATTTTAACTGGGGCATGCTCTAGAAATTCATTCTTAAACTCTTTACAAATCCTTCATTCAAGAATATGCCACTACACAAACATTTATATATGGGTGGACAGATGGGTGGACAGGCTGAACTATTAGGTCTGTCTATGCAGGGGTAGTGTGCCCAAGACCATGTATAGGGTGGGCACACAATATTTCTACTAGTGTATTTGTATGTTCTGTAAGAATTCCCAGGTATACAGCAGAGCTGATAAGGGACAAGGTTGTAGTCACTTCTTGGCCACAGCCAACTACCCAGAGGGAGTGAGTAGTTGGACCTGTGGGCTTGGGACCATAGTCACAGGGACATCAAACGCAACTGGTAAAACATACTACACAAAAACATTGTTCCAGATCCTACTTTGGTGAGTAGCGACTGGGATCTTAAAAGCTTGCAAGCCGCCATCTAGATGCAACAATGGGTCTCTCCTTGTCCAGAGAAAACAAGAATGAAGAAAACCAAAGACACATAGAAACAATTAGTCCAAGCAACTGGTACACATGCGATCCTCAGCCTATACAACTACGAGACCAGAAGAATAGATGTGCCCGGCTATCACTGTCAACTGATCTATGTAGGAGATCCTGGATAGTGTGGGAGAACAATGTGGAACAAAACTCAAAATCATTTAAAAAAAAAAAAAAAAAGGGACTAGGTTTGCTGGTCTGATAAAGCCTGATGGAACCACTGAGACTATCGTCCCTACCTGCCCTTCAGGTCTAGAATTGAACCCACTCCCATGCCTTCCAGCCAAATAAAAGACAGGAATATAAGCTGAACATTTACATTAGGTAGATACACTCCTTGGAGAGATCAATCATGGCAGAATAGAAGGGCTGTGTATGTACAGGGAGACAGTTTGGGGGCAGGTGTGCTTAGGAGGGAAGGACACAGGGAAGAGGCAACTATGGGGAGGAAGTGAGAGGGGAGCTGTCACATTGTGGGAAATTGCAGTCAATGTCATGGCACAAAGTATATGGGAGCTGCTGTATGGAAAGTGAATTTGCTTTGTAAAGTTTCCCCAAATCACAATAAAAATTAAAAAAATAAAAGAATATGCCACTACAGAATACACCTTCTTCTATACAATGCTTAACATCATCACTAATGAAGAAGTATACATTATTACATCCCTTAGAGCAATAGACCATGGGGCACCAGAGGGGCAACATTCACATGGAGGAAATGCAGGACAAACAGGAGTGCATAACTATGAGGGGCACAGGGGAAGGTTACTGGGCAGGGAGGGGAGGAGACTGGGTTAGGGTTGGGCATGGTAAATGGGGAGTGAAACTAAATGTACATGTAACATTGAATGTAAAACTAACTCTTAAAATAAAAAATAAAAATAAGAAAATTAAAAAAAATAAGAAGTATACATTATTTTGAGATTGGCTATTGAGTGATTGGAACTTCTTGAGTTGTATCCAGTTATTCAATCAAACACTAATCTAGGTAAACATCTACAGGAGCTCTGGTATCGTAGTGCCTAAGGCACTTGACTGCTAACCAGAAGGCTGGCGGTTCAAACCCACCAGCCACTCCTCGGAAGGAAGGTTGGGCAATCTACTTCCGTAGTGATACCGCCTTGGAAACCCAAGGAGGGGTCACTATGAGTCGGGTCCAACTCAATGGCAAATAAAAACAACAGCAACATTAACATCTACATTCAGTTGACTCTAAGTAAAGGGTATTAGTCTCAATAATGTGAGTAAGCCTTATTCAATCAGTTGAAAAGCCATCAAAGCAAAACTGAGGTTTCCTGAGGAAAAAGAAACACACTGGCTCAAGGGTATAACTACTACCTGAGTTTCCAGCCTGCTGGCCTGCCCTACAAATTTTGGATTTGCCAAATGCACCCCTTACCCCCCTCATCATATGAACCAATTTCTTGACATGAATCCCTTTATACATAGATAATAAAGAGCTCTGGTGGTACAGTGCCTAAGGCATTTGAGCACTAACCAGAAGTCTGGTGGTTCAATCCCGCCAGCCACTCCACAGACGGAAGATGGGGCAATCTACTTGGTGTGAAGATTTACTGCCTCAGAAACACAATGGGGGTCTCCATGAGTTAGAATCAACTCAATGGCAGGGTTTTTTTGTTTTAATTGTTGTTGTTATTTGTTTTAATAGACAGACAGATAGATAGATTCTACTGGTTCTGTTTCTCTGGAGAAACTGACTAATATAGACACTGGCAAAGTTTCACATCAGCTTGGAAGCTTATGACATAAAAATTCATGCCTCAGAAAAAGTATAAGCTATGGACCTTGGAGGTCAATAGCAAATGGCTGAATCTATGAATGTTCATTCTATGAACTCCAGGTTTCTACCCACTTTTCTACTTATATGGTGCAACCAAACCAAAAACCAAACTCACTGCTGTTGAGTTGGATCCGACTCATAGTGACTCCTCGTTGTTTTCGAGGTGGTATCACTATGGAAGTGCATTGTCTAACCTTCCTTCCGAGCAGTGGCTAGTGGGTTTGAAGCACCAGCCTTCTGGTTAGCAGGCAAATGCCTTAGGCACTGTATCACCAGAGCTCCCTATATAATGTGAAGTAGGTGAAAAATGTTATTGTGACTAAGAATAATCCTGTAAAAATTTACTGTCAGAAGATGCTACTAATTTTGCATTTAATTTCCTGAAATGTCAGCAATGAATACTGATAAAGATACAATCCAGATGCACAAATTGATCTTTACTATGAGAAGGGTATTCATTTTTTCCCCCTACAATACAGTATATGTCATCTACATTTAGGAAATTAATTAGAATTATCCACACATAATCCAATATCTAAATCATTGGCCACAAACAAAATTCTTAGTGCAGTAGTCCCTCCCCCCACCTTATCTGCAGGGGATAGTTTCTAAGACCCCTTGGGTGCCTGAAACCACGGATAGTACTGAACCCTATGTATATATATTTTTCCTGTACATACCTACGGGTACCTATGGAGGGTGTCCCGAATAGGCAGCATTAACCAGTTGGACACCAGTCGGTAGGGTGCAGCATAGTCGCTCACCCAATTGTGTTTTCCAGCAAAGGATTGAGGAAGCCGGCTCCATGGTGGAGCTGGATGACAGCGTGAGATTTCATCACGCTATTCAGAACGTCATGCAATTCAAGTATTTTCAGACCATGGTTGACACTCGTGGGTAGCTGAAACCATGCACAGCAAAACCGCAGCTAGCGTGGACCTACTGTATATACGTTTAAGTCCAGTTGACAGCTGCCATTAGAATAATCCATATATTCTTAAGAATATTATTTCATTCTCTAAATGCTCAGCTAAAAGCTAGGATTTCACTAGCTTTTACAATAAATGATTTATATAATATCAACAAATAGCTTCCTGCCTAGTTACCTTGACCCAATGGGATGCTGGCTCACTGCCAGCAGGGAGAGACTGAGGGTGGAGGGCGTCAGCACAGGAAGTCAGGTTTGGTTTCGTAGATTTATCTTTCCCATAAGGCTAAATAAATCAATGAATCACTGTTTATATGGACTTTAAAATAATGAGGGTAGCTATTGGAAAGCTACCTATATTGATCAGAATACAACAGTGTTGCCTTTGTTAGCATGCTGATGGTATAATTTTCCAAAAGCAAAATTCTCACGAAAGTGAGAAGAAAGCCAAGTGGCTGACATGCCAGTGACTGTTCATTAGAAGATTCAAACAAACAAAACCAAGAAGAAGAAAAAAAGGAGGATGACTATGAAGTACTTATGTCACCATGAATGTTTTTCACAGTAATAGGCTCAAGAGTCTTTCTCACTGGGGCAACTTTTGAAGATGCTTGATTGGTAATTAAGGCAACAATAAGATTATTTTGGTGTTTTTGAATAAGAGAGTACTCAGTTTTGGTTCAGTCATTTTCATTTAAAAAGCTGCCTCTAGCACATTAAGGAACTAACTACCTTCCACAACTATTTTTCTAGTTTAAGAACATGTAAGACTTTTCGTCTCATCCAAATAATGTTTAAACATGGCACAGTTGGTGACACTATTGGTGACACAGACTGATGACAGCCATATTGTCATGAGTACAAAATAAATGCAATGAACATCTAGGCTGCTGTTTCTAGAAATCACTCATCTGATATCCCGGGCCCCTGGTTTCTTCATTCTCAATATGAAATAGTTGGATTAGGCAATCTCAAAGATTTCATCTAACCATAACATTTATACATACATGCACACACAGAGATGAATCACTGCAGCTCTGGAATGTGGCTTTCTTTATAACTCATGGTTTTGGAAATGGATAGTGGTAATGTTTGAATAACAGGATGAATGTAGTTAATGCCACTGAGTTGTGCATGGAAAAATGTTGAATTGGCAAATATTCTGTTTTATATATATATTTACATATATATATATATATATATATATATATAAAACATAAAAAAAAAGTTCACATGTTTAAACTGAAGTAAAGTAAGACTTTTTTTGAATGGTAAGTTTGATGTTTGATGATCAGTCCTAAAAATTGTATATTATTCACTATATACATTTTGTGGGTGCAGACTACTTTTATGCTTACTGTATCTATATTTAAAGGACTCATTGTAGATTTAAAAGTGTAATTTGGTAAGCAGGTGGTTTAGTCCATTCTGCTTGTAATCTCATTCTTCACTGAAAAAGAGTATTCTCTATGTCCCCACCAACGTTTCTTATTTGGATGCATAAATTTAAAACTCATACACCCTATAATTCAAGAAAGGTGCCACAGGATAATTTTTTCAGCAACTGGCTGTTACTACAGGTCCTGCAAATACCCAGCCGTACCTTAGAAGTGTCATCTCCTTCATCTTCATGCACCGAGCTGGATGGGGAAGGAGTTGCAGACTTGCTTCCGGGTGGAGAAGGTGAGTTGTGGGGAACATTGCTCCCTCCCATATTCAAGCCAAGTTGGGCACTGAGCTGAGATTGGTTAATAGTGGTCAGCTGACCATGTGGCATCATCCCAGACTGCTGCCTGACATCTGCAGGCTGACCCCGAGGTCTCATGGCTGCCATCTGAGGGTGAGCACTATACTGAGTTCCTTCAGGATTCCGAATATCTTGCATCTACAAAAAAGGAAATTGGAAAGGAATAGTTTTCATAAATAAGTATGTTTCTGGGAAGTTTTTTTTTTCCCCCTGAATTCTTTAGACTGCAGGATGTCCTGCTGAACTACACACATTTTTTTCTGAGGTAAAATAATCTTTACATTATATACCAATGCAGGTGCCGTTACCAAAAGAATAGAATTTGAGCATTAATTTAGCATCACATTGCATTACCCACAACCTGATTTATTAATAGTCTTTCAGTAGGAATCCAGTGTAAACATACATCATTTATAGATTTATATGGTGTAAATTTCCAAATATTGATGCTTATTAGAGTGCCTAGGAAAGTTAGAGTGCCTAGGAGCTATGGTAGCATAGTACCTAAGGCACTTCACTGCTAATCAGAAGGCTGGCGGTTCAAACCCACCAGCCACTCTTTGGAAGGAAGGTTGGGCAATCTACTTCCGAAGTGATACTGCCTTGGCAACCCAAGGAGGGGTCACTATGAGTCGGGGCCGACTCGACGACAAACAACAACAACAGGAAAGTTATACAGTTATTAGTGATTATAGCATTCACAACAATTCATTAAACCCTATTTCTTTTATTTTTATCATTTAAGAAAGGTTTTGGGAGATAATAAGTGTTCTATGGTTCTCAGTTTAATTCTAGATAGTCTAGTACTGACGACAATGATCTATTATCTCATCACACTTACAGGCTGGTATTAACCAATTGAGTAATTGACTATTGAAATGATTTGCCTGCACAGTCAGATTTGAAAGTAAAGCTCTAAAGTTTCAAGGTTGCCATATTAATCCATTATGCTATCTGGGTCACTGCTTTTTAGCCTTAATGAGACTCACTCTTGTAATTCAAGCAATGAATTTCATCTCTGTAAGGATTAGAATTAAAAGCATTGGGGGATGAAGCTCTTAATGTATCTAAGGGTCAGATGTGTTGTCTAAGAGCAGTATGGTGGATTTCACTTAACATTTCCCTAGCATTTTCAAATTTAAAATAACGGGACTATTTAGCAGTGCTTCCAGAAGCAACTCAGTTTCCTCACTCTGAAGAGGCTTGGAGAATCAAGCAAGGAAAGAGTGTTTAAAAGAGGAGAAAGAAGAAAAAAAAAAAAAAAAGACAAAAGTGAAATATGGAATGGTGGTGAACTGACATTTTGGAATGAAAAATAAAATTAATATGGTTATCGTAACCTGTTTAATTAAAAAAAAAAAATTTACAAGGTCTCAGATTTGCCCAGTAATTGCCTGCCTGCAAATGTCACTGTGACGTGAAAATATTGTGAAGGCCAATTAAGCAACCTAATCATAGGCTTTGGTAGGCAGTGGAGGGGGAACAAAATCAAAATCATTTTCTACCAATGCTCTCTTGTCATTTTACCAATCTAGTTAGATCCATCTGAAATTGAAATTATGGCTGGTCAGGGTCCCAGTGTTTGCCTTGAGTTACTTGATTAGGTTTTCTACCTGTACCATAAATTCTTGTATCATTCTTGTACTATGTTTTTGTGTTAGTCATTCTCACCACTTTTCCAATAATTGCTGTTGCTCCTTCTTTTCAGACTCAGTTCCAGGCAGCCTAAGCTCTGGGCTCTTTTCCATTAAGACTGAGGCTGCTTCCATGATTTTATATCTGCTGCTTTGCTAGTCTGAGCTGTATCTATACCTAATCCAGATTGAATTCCTCTAACTTTTTAGAGATAGCTCATTATTTTCCTTTTTATGAAGTCCCTCAATAAGTAATTATTACTATTCAGTGATACATGTTAGAGCTGTAAGGGCACTAAGGCACACTCTTAGTCCCTGGGACAGGAAACTTAGGTGCAGGCCATTGTAAAAGCATGTCAAATATTTGTTGAATAAATATATAAATGAATGAATAAAGCCCAGAGATTTAGTGACTTGAAAAAAATCACAGAGCTTGAGATAAAATATGCCTCTCTCAAATTCAGTCTTAGGTACTCGCCTCTTATTAAACAGCCAGTTCAACATTTTAAGTATGCTAATAGAGAAAAATAGTTATTTAAAGATAATTCAAAATGTTCTTTCAAATGTTGTATATGTAAATTAATGATTGTTTTCATGGGGTGTATTCATGTTGTCCTAGTCATAGTGACTAAAACAGTTCTTGTCCCTTCTTAGCTGTTCATAGAGCAGTACCTGGGTGGTACAAATGTTAAGGCTCTCAGCTCCTCACCAAAAGTTTGCAGGTTCAAGTCTAGCCAGAGGCTCCTTGGAAGAAGGCCTGGTGCTGTACTTCCCAGAAATCAGCCATTGAATACCCTGTGGAGCACGTTCCACTCTACACATGGGGTCACCATAAGTCAGGGTAAACTGGCTCGTAACTGGTTAGCTGTTTATATTGTTGTTTGTTGTTGTTATATGCCGTCGAGTCAGACCCGACTCATAGCGACCCCTCCTTGGGTTTCCGAGGCAGTATCACTATGGAAGTAGATTGCCCCATCTTCCTTCTGAGGAGTGGCTGGTGGGTTTGAACCACCAGCCTTCTGGTTAGCAGTCAAGTGCCTTAGCTGTTTATAGAACATCTAAACATCTGATCTTTAGAAATAGCACAGGTTTTCACAAATATCCTTAAAGTTGTGCCATCAACAGTAGTAGCTGTTAGCTGCTGTTGAGTCAGTTCTGACTCACAATGACCCCATACACAACAGAATAAAACACTGCCTGGTTCTTCACCACCCTCACAAACATTGCTATGTTTGAGCCTGCTGTTGCAGCCACTGGGTCAATCCATCTCATTGAGGGTCTTTTTTTCACTGGCCCACTGCTTTACCAAGCATGATGTACTTCTCCAGGGACTGATCCCTCTTGATCACATGCTCAAAGACATGAGATAAAGTCTCACAATCCTGCCTTCTAAGGAGTATTCTGGCTGCACCTCTTCCAAAACTGATTTTTTTTTTTCTTCTGGCAGTTCATTGTATATTCAATGTTCTTTATCAATACCACAGTTCAAATGCATTAATTATTCTTTGGTCTTGCTTATTCATTCTCCAGCTTTCTTATGCATATGAGGTGAATGAAAATACCATGGCTTGGAACAGGTTCACCTGAGCCCTCAAGGTGACGTCTTTGTTTTCTAACACTTTAAAGAAGTCTTTTGCAGCAGATTTACCCAATGCAATAAGATGTCTGATTTCTTGACTGCTGCTTCCATGGGTGTTAATTGTGTATTCAAGTAAAATGAAATTCTTGACAACTTCTTTATTTTCTCCCTTTATCATGGTTGGTTGCTTATTGGTCCAATTATGAGGACTTCTGTTTTCTTTATGTTGAGGTGTTATCCATATTGAAAGTTGTAATCTTTGATCTTCATCAGTAACTGCTTCAAGTCCTCATCAGTTTCAGCGAGCAAGGTTATGTCATCTGCATATCACAGATTGTTAATGAGTCTTCCTCCATTCCTGATGCCATGTTCTTCTTTATTTAGTCCAGTTTCTTGGATCATTTGCTCAGCATACAGATTGAATAAGAATGGTGAAAGGATACAACCTTGATGCTCACCTTTCCTGATTTTAAACCATGTAGAATCCCCTTGGTCTATGTACAGTTTTCTCATGAGCACAATTAAGTGTTCTGGAATTTCCATTCTTCACAATGTTATCCATAATTTGTTATGATCCACAGTCAAATGCCTTTGCATAGTCAACAAAACACAGGTAAACATCTTTCTGGTATTCTCTATTTTCAGCCAAGGTCCATCTGGTATCAGTAATGATATTATTTGTTCCATGTCCTCTTCTGAGTCAGGTTTGAATTTCTGGTGTTCTCTGTCAATGCACTACTGAAACAGTTTTTGAATTATCTTCAGTAAAATTTTATTTATGTGTGATATTGATACTGGTCAATAATTTCCACATTCTATTTGATCACCTTTCTTTGGAATGGATACAAATATGGATCTCTTCCAGTCAGCTGTCCAGGTAACTGTCTTCCATAGATCTTCCACAGATGACTTTCATAGCTGTCTTGACATCGATGAGTGAGCACTTCCAACATTGCTTTCATTTGTTGAAACATCTCAGTGGGTATTCTGTCCATTCCTGGAGTCTGGGTTTTCACCAATGCCCTCAGTGCATCTTTGCACTTTGCAGATATCAATGGTATCTTCAGTACCATTGGTTCTTGATCATATGTTACCTCCTGAAATTGTGGAACATTCACCAATTCTTTTAGGTACAGTAACCCTGTATTCCTTCCATCCTATTTTGATGATTCCTGCATTGTTCAATATGTTGTGACTCAAGGCTTGAATTTAGTTCTTTCAAGCTTGAGAAATGTTGATCATGTTTTTCCCTTTTGGTTTCTAAGTCCAGGTCTTTGAATATTTTGTTAAAATACTTTATTTCATTTTCTGGACCCACTGTTTGAAATCTTCTGTTCAACTCTTTTACTTCATCACTTCTTCCATTTGCTGTAACTACTCTATGATCAAGAGTGAGTTTCAAAGTCTCTTTGACATCCGCTTTAGTTTCTTCTTTCTTTCCAGTATGCTAATGACCTTTTGCTTTCTTTATGTATGATACCCTTGATGCCATCTCACAATTCATCTGGTCTTTGGTCATTAGTGTTCAATGCATCAAAGCTATTTGAGATGGTCTCTAAATTCAGATGGTCATACTTTGGCTCTATTAGACTTTTAAAAAAATTCTTGAGCTTCAACTTTAAAATTGCATATGAGCAATTGGTGGTATGTTCAGCAATTGCCCCATGGCCTTGTTCTGACTGATAATATTAAACTTAAGGAGCTCTGGTGGTGTAGTTCCTAAAAGCATTTGACTGCTAACCAGAAGGCTGGCAGTTCAAACCCACCAGCTGCTCTGCAGAAAGAAGATGGAGCAATCTACTTCGTAAAGGTTTACTGCCTCAGAAACCCAGTGGGGGTTGCTATGAGTTGGAATCAACTCAATGACAGTGAGTTTGGTTTTTTGAGTTTTATTGTCTCTTTCTACAGATTTAGTTGATTTTATT